AGCAGCACTGCTCGAAGAGCGTCGAGAAACACTCGAGAATCGGCTAAGTGTCGAGGAGGAGATACTTTCGGTTTCCTCCGCGACGCTGCCTGCGACAACGTTACTGATATTGTCGCTCCTGCTGCAACACGTCGGCTTCACTTTCCGGCCTTTGGTCTCACGTTGAGATCGCCTGACCTGTTCACTGTGCCGCTTGTCGACGTCCATTATCTTTCCGTCCGGCTGGTTCGAATCCGGCTCGAAGGACCAATGTTTTTACCTCTCGTCTTGATTCACCATTCCACAAGCGTAACGTCGTTACTTTATTATTAGAAGACTGTATTATTACTCTTTCATTCTCATGCCAAACAGCTAACTCATACTAAACAAGAATGACCAAACTAGCCACCTGCACCACCGAAGCAGGAACCTAAAAGTAAAACTCTAAACACACCAAGGAAAACAAGCCCCCTCTACGCCTACGGATCACGGACTACAATCCCGATCCTAGCGTAGCGGCAAATGATACATACTAGTACAAGTCGATGACAAAAGCGGTGCCGGTGTTAGGTGACAGCTGCATACGAATGCATGAAAGGGGTCAGACAGTTCATGTATCATGTGTACCGGCAGTTGTAACTGGAGCCGACTGAAAGTCAATACATCAATAGCAGTGTTAGTCATACATGAAGCCCAGACTACAGAAAGTGTAGCAGTGGATACAAAGTAAGTTGCATACGACGGGTGTTGCTTGTCGCCAACGTCGCCTACGGGGGCAACAAGGCCCTTGTGCCACACGGTGTCGAAGGCCTTGGAGAGATCGAAGAAACAGATGCAGGAGACCTGCCGCTGGTCTTTTAGGGAGCAGAGGTCTTGGATTATGCGGGACAATTGCAGGGATGTGTTGTCCTTACGACGGAAGCCAGATTGTGCGGGGTGAAGAAGAGGGGAGATATGGTTGTACAAGCGGTCGTACACTATTCTCTCTAGCAGTTTGGAGACGCAGGACAGGAGGGAGATTGGTCGGTAATTAGACGGGTTGCTCTTGTCGCCTTTATTTTTGTACACTGGAATGACAGTGGCTGACTTCCATCGTGACGGGAATGTGCCGGGGGAGAGGGAAAGGTTAAAAAGAATAGAGAGTGAGCGGGCAATTGAGTAGCTCAGTTTCCTGAGGATCTCATTGCTGATCCTATCAGCTCCGGGGGATTTGTTCAGAGGCAGTCTTGCAATATACTTGTGAACAGTCGATGAGGTGATGATCAGGGAGTGCAATGTAGTTGCTGGTGGAGGTAGGGAGGAAATAGTGGGAATAGGAGCATCGGGGTCAACCTGTAAGCCAGCACTGACGAAGTGGCGGTTCAATAAGTTACCAATGGATGCCGGAGAGGTGCTTGTTCAACCATTGGGACCCACCATCTTCGAAGGTATGACCCGGGCGCTGGTAGGATTTCGCAGTTGACGAATGAGCACAGGGAGGGATGGGAGGCGAGGGTTTGTGGGAGATACCGTGGCACGGAGGTTGCGGATGTAGCAGCGCTGGCAGGATCTGGAAAGGCATTTTACATAGTTACGTTGGTGTTTGTATTTGTTGAAATTTGTAGGGGATGGGTATTTCCGGTAGATGCTGTAGAGATCACTCTTGACTTTAATAGCTACTTTCAGTGATGCAGTCATCCAGGGGCAGGGTTTGTGGCGTGATTTCCGACGAGGAGGTGAGGATCTTCCTATGTATAGGTCCAAGGCACCTTTAAGGATGTCAGTGAATGCGGAGACAGCCGTGTCGATGCAGTGGGAGGCAAGGACCTGAGACCAGGGTACATCTGCGAGAAAAACATTCATGGCATTCCACATGTTATCCGTGGCACTCAGGACATTGTATTTTGTGTAGATGGTGGGCTACGACAGGTGCTGGCTGCTGTGGGGAAAGACTTTGAGGAGGAAAACTCAGCCAGCAGGACGGCATGGTCTGATGCGCCAAGAGGAGCCAGGTGTTGAATGTGGTTGAGTTGGTTAGGGATGTTGCTCGCGATAAGGTCTAGACAGCTGCCAAGTCCATTCGAGCGGAGGTGGGTGGGAAAGGTTACCGATTGGGTCAAATTATAGCATGAGAAGAGGTTGTAAAGACTCAGACCCTGTGCATCCGTTTGGTCAGTTGAGCACCAGCCGGAATACGGTATTACCTACAGTTGAAGTCGCCTGATATCACAAGGGCTTCGGGCTTCCTTTGAGTTGATTGCAGGGCTATTTGGAAGCGGTCGAGAAAAGTCGAGAAGTCATCCGTCGACGGGGAAGGAGCACGGTAGATACAGGCTACTGTTAGGTGGGTTGTTGGCAGGTCAGAAGGTGAGGCAAGCTTATGTTCAGCGAGTGTAAGCCGAAGTGCTAGCGCTTCCAAGCCCGGTTGCTGAAAATCCGGTAGCTGATCAATGGAAGTACACAGACCTTAACGAACTAAGATTAGAACTCCTCCGTCCCTGTGTGGGTCACGGTTCTGTCTATTTTCTCAAACAGGTCGGTCTCGACGGAAGCATTCATAGTAGTAATAGGTTTTTCATTTTGACCCGACGAGACCATACGACGCTTCCAGATCACAGCACGAACAGTTCACCAGCCACACTCCACGAAAGCAAGTAGTAGTACTCCTGACAAGTCTTGTTTCGTTCCATAGAGATAATAACGGGGAACTCATCAGAGGAGAAGCAGTTGTTGAATGAAGGAGTTTAGCTGAATAATGCTATTTTATAGAAAAGATATTGGCGCACTGAGGTGTAAACACTCAACTAACTCACATATGTGATATATCAACACAAAAGGAATAGTGCAGAATGGAGGTGTTCTGAACCCTACCAGACACAACTAGTTGACACAATTAGTTGAGTGTTTACACCTCAGTGCGCCAATATCTTTTCTATAATAATAATATTACAGCACGCATATAGCTCATATGAAAAATCAAATGAGGGTCATGCATCTGTCGACAACGTCGAGCCAGTGCGTTCTGTCTGAGGCAAGTTGCTCCGCTTCCAAAAGAGACATATTGAGAAGTAAAAGGTCATTCCTAATGTTGGAATCATCTTTCCCAATAAAATTTCGAATAATGCTCTTTATGCTAAAACTGCTCAATGCCCAATAAGTGCAGTCTGTAGACGCCGGCGCTTATTATGGTTTGGACATGTCATTCGTGAAGGGAAGGACGCTGTGTCGTACAAAGCCCTTCACATGGCAATGAATATAACAGATATAAAGAAGCCCAGAGGTCGCCCAGTGACCAGATGGGTAGACAACATTAGGAATCTTTTCTATAAAATAGCATTATTCAGCTAAACCCCTTCATTCAACAACTGCTTCTCCTCTGATGAGTTCCCCGTTATTATCTCTATGGAACGAAACAAGACTTGTCAGGAGTACTACTACTTGCTTTCGTGGAGTGTGGCTGGTGAACTGTTCGTGCTGTGATCTGGAAGCGTCGTATGGTCTCGTCGGGTCAAAATGAAAAAGTTAGAAAAAGAAAAGTTCTAGTGGTGAATTCATGAAACGAATATTCGAATATTCGAACATTCGTTCGGTTGGTCACATTCGAATATTCTTTTTAGTCGCATTCGAGTATTCGTGACGTCACTTTGAATGCAGTGCAGGTACATGCATGCACGCCAAACACAGTACAGACAGTGAGCACAGCCTGCCTGTGACTGCATGCTTGCACATGTACAATGTATGTGCATACTGGACTGCCAATGTTGCACATAACATGATTGTATGAACTTCGAAGTACATGTAGCCTTTGTGGCAGTGCATTTTATGTGGCACTACCGTTTGCCATACCTAATAGTAATGACAATATCAAATGACTGAGAGGAGGCTATGTGATGCCATCCGTGTAACCAAAAGAATATTCGTACGTTCGTTCGTTAAGCCAAAGAATATTCGGCTACTAGGTTTTGACATTCGTTTCACCACTATTCAGAAAAACCTCAGTATTACTACTGTATTTGACGGACCTATTGAAGATGGCAACAAAGAATTATTTTTAGCATTCATAGTGTGGCACGTGGAAAGCTTGTGTGGGAGTTAGCCAGGTCTCTGTAATGCATACTACGCTGGGTGTGTGATCTTCACAGATTTGAATGAGTTCGCCCAACTTGTTTGCTATGGAGCGAGCATTAAGGACACAGATTGTAAGTCGATGAGTAGCAGCATGTACAGAATGGGGGAAGAAAGGTGGGGCAAGAACGTTGAGAGGCGCAGGGGTTGAAGTGGAAGAGGAGGGAGAGAGGTTACGCATTGGAAGCTGGCTTCGTCACTTTGGGGCTGTCCGCAAAACGCCACTTGCGTACTGAGTGGCTGATGGCTTCGGGCCAGAAGGCTCTGTCTAGTACACGCTCTTCATGTTCTGCAGCCACAGTGACTCTGGCATTCGAGGTGCCAAGGTATTTCGACTCCATGACGGAGCAATTTAATACCTCCACGTCCCTCGCTTGTTACCAGTCTCTGATGAATCCTCTTCCAATTTTGTTTTTGGAGTCTCTTTCTCCAAAAATCCTGGTTCGAACCCCAGTGGAGTGGAGGTGCCTTTTTGGACCCTTTTCAAATTTTAAAGTGTGCGGCACTACACCGTGCACGATAAAATCACGAAAAATTGCCAAATGCGGGAGCTTGTGAGAGCCTTGGCCCATCTTTTTGTGAATGGACTGTCATGTAAGGGTGTTAAAACTCCACAGTACTCAGCAACCACTTTGTCTGGCATGTTCACCAAATCATACACCACCCGCGGCCCCACGCTAAACCGGGCCGGCTACCGGCTACAATTATTGGAAAAAATAGAACAGTGTAAATCCAAATTTTCTGGCCACCAGTCCAGCGAGCCCTACAGGCTACACAGACCGGTATGGGTAGGGTTCCCTGGGTTAGTCCCATCTTGGATTATTCTATTTTAGTTTTTCAAGTAATTGTAAACCGAGAGACCTTTTTCGGTGGTGGTGTTTGGTTAGCGAGCCTTCTCATTCTTCTCTCCATTCAAATGTTATTATAAACAATTCATTTACGATATAGCATGAGTTACAGTAAAGCATAACTTATTGCTCTGGATAAAAGAGACACGTGCAAACCATTGGGTTGAGCAAAAAGAAAACTGCCTTTAGATTATTCACCGGTACGCTGAATGCACATGCCGGTGGAAGAATTGACAAAGCTGGGTGCTATCTATCTCTACATTTCGTGGAAACGCACAATGCAATACATCTTCCAGAGAAACAGTGTTTGCGAAGAAGTAGAAAGGGACGAAAAACACGAAAGGGTTCACAGGAAACAGCCAGGGCCGGTATCGTATTTATACTTAAATCTCATTTCAGTCTGTTTGCAGGTGCTGACGACGACTAGATGGAGGATCGATTTAGAATTGCATGAGGCCACCACCACTAGGATTACCACCTGTGGGAGAGGTAGGTGACATCGGATCTAGGTTGAAGCCCTGGTCAAAGCCATCCTGTAGTGAGGAGGGGAAAGAGAAACCAGACATCCATGCAGTTAGCAATCAACTCAATGCCAACTCTAGTCCTTGCAAATCGAGTATCTCAATCCCAATTGGGTCAGTATGCACCTGGCTGATCGTGTTCAACAATATAACGTTAGTAACACTACAGAATTGATCACAATGTGCTTGTGTTTGGCAGATATGATACATACGTACCTGAAGGCCAGCTAACTGTGCCTCGATATCTAGAATTGCCTGGTCAATGTCACCACCACCACCACCACCACTGCCGGCACCGCCACCAACTGCAGGAGGTTGCTCAATGCTGGAGAATGGCTGAAATTGTCCTGCTGAAGAGGCTGCGGGCACGTTGACATAGTCTGCCTGTGGCGCTGGCTCATCGAAGCTTGCCCAGCTGTCGCCAGCTGCTGGCGCGGTGGATGTTTGCGTCGCACTAGGGCTGAACCAGCTGTCTTGTTGTTGTGCTGCTGGAGGTTGTGCTGGCGGTGCCACAGGTGCAGCGGGTGCAACGGGCGCTGCGGGTGCTGCCTGCGCTGGAGCGGGAGCGTCGAAACTTGCCCATTGAGCCTGTTGAGCTACGGGAGGCTGTACGGCCGGAGCAGCCTGAGCCTGCTGCTCCTGCTGGAATGAAAGCATACTGTACGGTTGACTGGCCTCTGCAGGCGGGTCATCAAACGATGCCCACTGTGGCTGCTGGGCTGGTGCCGGTGCTGCTGCTTGCACCATAGGCTGGGCAACGGGTGGCTGTGCAGCTGCTGGAATTGCTGCTGGTGGTCTCGGCTGGGTCGGGGCTTGCTGACCCAGGCCTAGAAGGTCGGCGCTTGTATTTGGCTGCATTTGGGTCACCTGGGTTTTAGAATGAATACACGCACACGCACGCACACACACACACACACACACACGCACACACACGCACGCACATACACACACACACGCGCACATCAACACACGTATATACACGCACGTCCCAATGTTACACACGCATGCATGTGCACCATTGATGCGTGCAGCCATGGCCCCAGTCTATTGTAAGACGCCCAGTTTCATACCTGCTCCTGAAGCTTCATTGTTTCGACATCGGTCATGTCCTTGGTCATCTGCAATTCAGCTATCCGTTTCCGTAGCTCGTGTTTCTCCTGTTCTGCTTGATCAACCTGGATAGTAACAGTATTCAGAGCAGCAAAACCCCGAGAGAGCTAAGCACAAAGATACAGTATTCAGAGCAGCAAACCCCGTCGAGAGAGCTAAGCACAAAGAGACTACTGTATACAGCTTTCCCTCATCACACAGTACACCAAACACAATAATGTAAATCCCAGCATCAAACAGTACACCAAACACAATAATGTGAACCCTCATCAAACAGGACACCAAACACAATAATGTGAACCCTCATCACACAGTACACCAAACACAATAATGTAAATCCCAGCATCAAACAGTACACCAAACACAATAATGTGAACCCTCATCAAACAGGACACCAAACACAATAATGTGAACCCTCATCACACAGGACACCAAACACAATAATGTGAACCCTCATCAAACAGGACACCAAACACAATAATGTGAACCCTCATCAAACAGGACACCAAACACAATAATGTGAACCCTCATCAAACAGGACACCAAACACAATAATGTGAACCCTCATCACACAGGACACCAAACACAATAATGTGAACCCTCATCAAACAGGACACCAAACACAATAATGTGAACCCTCATCAAACAGGACACCAAACACAATAATGTGAACCCTCATCAAACAGGACACCAAACACAATAATGTGAACCCTCATCACACAGGACACCAAACACAATAATGTGAACCCTCATCAAACAGGACACCAAACACAATAATGTAAACCCTCATCAAACAGGACACCAAACACAATAATGTGAACCCTCATCACACAGGACACCAAACACAATAATGTGAACCCTCATCAAACAGGACACCAAACACAATAATGTGAACCCTCATCAAACAGGACACCAAACACAATAATGTGAACCCTCATCAAACAGGACACCAAACACAATAATGTGAACCCTCATCAAACAGGACACCAAACACAATAATGTGAACCCTCATCAAACAGGACACCAAACACAATAATGTGAACCCTCATCAAACAGGACACCAAACACAATAATGTGAACCCTCATCACACAGGACACCAAACACAATAATGTGAACCCTCATCAAACAGGACACCAAACACAATAATGTGAACCCTCATCAAACAGGACACCAAACACAATAATGGGAACCCTCATCAAACAGGGCACCAAACACAATAATATGAACCCTCATCAAACAGGACACCAAACACAATAATGTAAATCCCAGCATCAAACAGTACACCAAACACAATAATGTGAACCCTCATCACATAGGACACCAAACACAATAATGTGAACCCTCATCAAACAGGGCACCAAACACAATAATGTGAACCCTCATCAAACAGGACACCAAACACAATAATGTGAACCCTCATCAAACAGTTCACCAAACACAATAATGTGAATCCCAGGCGCACCAAACTACCTGGCACGAATTGCATGCACTGTGATTTAGCAAGAGCGAGGAAGCAACAGGCTCCCATTTATTGCTCCTAGGGGCTTTTGTAGCACAATAACCATGCACTCCCACTCCCCCCCTCCCTAGAGTACAAAATGGCCATCAGCTATGCGATGGTCTTTTAAATAACCTGTGTGCAGGACAGCTTGAGGGGGCAGCCTACTCATAAATTTCATATGGTAGTAGTAGTAGTAGTAGTAGTAGTAGTAGTAGTAGTAGTAGTAGTAGTAGTAGTAGTAGTAGTAGTAGTAGTAGTAGTAGTAGTAGTATTTACTCCCGTAGCTATGCAGAAGACGTTACTTCAGTAACGTCTGGCGCTAGCCAGGGTCCACACAGCTTTAATTTGGTATTTGTGTGTTTGTTTGTTTGTTTGTTTGTGTCACGCCTGGCGCTATCCGTATCTGACGGCAAAAAAGCATAGGATGTTATAAATTTTTCAATTCTCCTTTTTTTCAGGCATATTCTGGGATTCGAACCCGCACTATCGCCCTACATGCATTCCCCCATACACTTCGCATTCATACCCATTCTTCCAAGTTGCTTTACGTTATTATCTTGCGTTTGAAAGCCCTATTTGAATATTGCGGGCAGCTGTATGTGGCCAGCTGTGTTTGATGGTACGGTACGGTACGGTACGGGAGACGGTGTTGTATTACCCTCGATCGTACCTGTCCCGTACCTATCCCCTACCGTACCGTGCCATCAAAGACGGCTGGCCACAATGCATATTCAAATAGGGCTTTCAAATGCAAGATCACAATGTGAAACAACTTGGAAGAATTAGTATGTATGCGAAGTGTATCGGGGGATGCATGCAGGGCGCGCGATAGTGCGGGTTCGAATCCCAGGTTATGTCTTAAAAAAAGGAATTTTTAAAGAATATATAACATCCCTATGCTTTTTTTTGTCTAGGTCATCAAGGCAAAAAAGCATAGCGTAGGGCCCTGAGCTTCCAAGCTCTCTCGTTATTTTGTTAGGGAAATCCCTACAGACGTTGCCGTCTTTTTACAGGGAACCCTAAGTGCTCTTTGCAGAGCGAAATGAAAGCGGATGGTTGATCAGCTTGGCGACACAACATAGGCAGAGAATTCCACCGATCAGCGCCAAGGAAAGAAACAGAGAACATGCCATATCTAATTTTAGCAGCAGGCAAAGAAATAGACGAGAATGACTGTCCTCTAGTGCGCCTATCTGTACAAGTAGCAGCTGATTGTAGAGTGAACATAGAGGAAAGCAGGGGACTTGTCAGCTTGGCATTCAATTGACCGTAACTTTGGTGTTTCTCAGTGGATTTGAGTGAAATTTTGACCACACACTCCTGCCACTATGCTGGCCCTCTGGACATGATTTACAAGTTATTGCGCCTCACAGACAGGCTTTCCAGGCCGGAAAAACACAAAATGCCGGCATGGTGCCACAGTGTGCGAGCCACCCAGGAGCCAAACAAATGCATTTACAAATTTTTCACATTTTCGTGCCCATTCTGTCCGTGTGCGGGATCCAAACCTAAAACAAGTCCAGAAGCAGCCATGGGTGGTGGGGTAGGGCCCCTCAACATGGCCCTGGAATCTCTCACAACGGAACAAGTGGGCGTTCGCTCACAGACTCCCACAGACCCAAGTCAATTTTTGACTTTTTTTAGGTTCAGGGCGTGCTACGAGGTCGTACCTTTTATACAACATCCAGTGCTGGGGCCTCCACAGCAAGCCATTTCCACAGCGCTGCACACCAAATCCAGGATACCCTCAAAAACCGGCAAAGACTACCACTCACGTTCTACTACTGCCTAGTACTGAATCCTACCTGACTTCTTGACACGACTCAAACTTGCCAAAGTCACTACATCAACGTCAGCTACAATAATCAAGCCACATATCTGCAACGTCACGAGGGTGCTGGCAAAAGTCCTGCTGCACGGCGGCGGGTTTCGCCCGCCGCCGTGCAGCCCAATACGTGGCTAAAAAACGTGATTTTTTGGACTTTTTCGGACTTGGAGCAAAATTCTGCACACTTTCACGTGTTTCTATGATATGACAAGTTGCGCACGGTCTGCTCAGATTCAATTACACTGCTGCCAAAAAATGACAGCGTGCAACAAAAAAATCTTTCCTTGCAAGGGCACATTTTTCGGCCATAACTCTTGAACGGCTGGTCAGATCGAGACAAAATTTTCAGAGATTTTGCAGCTATTCATGCTCTTTCAACTGACGTAGCACTCGATATGGATTTACAAATTCGATTTTTCAGCGAATTTTTGGGTAGTCTGCCACCTTAAAAGCTGGCCTGGACTTTGCACACAGGTTATTTGAGTGAGGTCATCGGATGTGCTTTGTATGGAGCACCTGGACGGGAAAGGAAGTGCTAGCTTCGTGTTGGGTGGCAAACAGCACTACATTGCCACTGGGATTATATTGCAACGTGAATGGCATATTTGTATGCAGTGGCAGACCGGCATACAGTAGACCATTCAAACAGGGCTAGACTTGTTTACCAACCAGCTCTAGCTGACTTCTGACTCCGAGCTGCAGCTTTGCCTCTAGCCCATGCATACAAAGCGTCTCAAATGATGATGTCATGATGATGTCATTGCATGACCTCTATAGCCAGTGTCGCTTACAGATTGTTGCATGGCCAGCACCTTCTTCTGCAGATCGGCATCGCTTGAAGTTCCCCGCACCTTCTTGAATGCCAAGTCGAATGCCTGACCCACCGTCAGCGTTATCTGGCTAGCCTGAAGCACACAGAGGTGGGAGGACAGGGATAGTGAGGTTCTGTTATGTGTGATGAGAAGGCAGTGCCCAGATTCGAGCACTCCTGTTCCTGGACTCCGTGTGCCACAAAAAAAGATGCCACATGTTCACGCAAATATGTCAGGTGGAATGTGTATCGTTGCTGGGATTTTTCCTGCCCTAATGCGGCGGTATTCTGAAGATCTGGTGCCAACATCTGAGTGATATGCACGATATTTGTATGTGTTTCCTTAGCATGTACCACCCATAGACATCTTCATCTACCCCCCCCCCCCCCTCCCCCCCCCCCCCCACACACACAGCAATCTGGACCCAGAACATGTTCAGCCACAGACTCTAACCAGGCGCGTGCTCGGCGATGGGCACGTGCACCCCCCTAAAATTTCCAATCTGGGTAATTGCAATTGTAATGTATGCAAATATGCTCTAAAATTCAAGAAAGGTTGCAAACAAATTGCAGAAAATTGCCGGGGGGGCTCCCCTCGGCTCCCGTGCAGCCCCCTAGTTGGGGGGGCCGAGCACGCCCCTGCTAACCCAGGGCAAATGTTCGTTACGTGCCTTCTCCGTGTGAACTCCCCAGGATGTACTTAGGCCTATCACTAGGACTCACGCAAAGCAGGATCAGACGTTGCCAGGTTCATGCAGCTACACTCATACCTCGTTTATCCGGGCGGTCCGGGACCGAGCATTGCCCGTAACTTTGAAATGTTCGTAACTCCGAATCACATACATTTCGATGGGGAAAGGCCGGAGATATGGCATATGAGAGATATGGCGTCACTAAATCCGGAAACCACACTTGTCATTCCAATGGAGGTAACTGTATTTCTTTTACTTCTCTGCATCAGCTCAGTGCTAGGAACCAGGTAACAACCTGCACACAACAGTTTTTTTGTACTTACAATCTTGTCCGTTTCAAAGACGTAGCAAAAATGCGTCTCAGAGTCGGCTTCTTTGGAAATGTAGGCAAAGACAGACTTGTTCGACTTGTCATCCCCACAGTATGAAATCTTTGTCAGCGGATGTTGGTGGATAAACGCCTGCACGGGGTTGTGTCAGAAACAGACATGAAAAATCTGCTTTGAACAGGGCCATACTGCTTAGCAACTCCCCAGCCTGGATAGCGCTCCTTACATGTCATAGCGGAGCTGCAGGTGTAGGTGAAATGACATAGATACTCTCTATCTCTCTCTCCCTCCCTCCCCCCTCCCTCCCTCTTTCCCTCCCTCCCTCTCTCTCTCTCTCTCTCTCTCTCTCTCTCTCTCTCTCTCTCTCTCTCTCTCTCTCTCTCTCTCTCTCTCTCTCTCTCTCTCTCTCTCTCTCTCTCTCTCTCTCTCTCTCTCTCTCTCTCTCTCTCTCTCTCTCTCTCTCTCTCTCTCTCTCTCTCTCTCTCTCTCTCTCTCTCTCTCTCTCTCTCTCTCTCTCTCTCTCTCTCTCTCTCTCTCTCTCTCTCTCTCTCTCTCTCTCTCTGTGAGAGATAATACTGTAGTGGTTGTACAAACGCACCAGTGCACAGTGGCATGTGCATCCACTACAAATACTACGAGTACACAAGCGCCGTCCGCAAAGTCCCGGTCAAGAAGAACGGGAGGCAAGCTGAGAGACGTCTCTACAGCTGCCGATGCCATGCTGTCATGCTCACAATGCATGGGACGAGTATGCAATTACTACTACTACTATGTAAACTAATCACTCCCTCCGACGGACACACGCGACAAGCCAGAGAGCCAGAGAGTGATGGTTCACATTGTATTTTGGGAGAGCAACAAAACTAAAAACTAAAGTCGAGTGCCAAGAAGAAAGAAGACCCGGTCCCAAACGAAGGACCAAGTCCAAAGGAGAAAATATGGCGGAGTATCAAAATGACCAGCACGTGTCACGCACCAGCTCCACACGCGCGACACCACAATCACTGCATGCACTGCGCTGCCTTGATACATGATCGGGCCGCGGGCGCCAGGAGAACAAAGCGCTAGCACGGACAACACTAGCGGAACTAGCTGGAACAACAGTGTTACATGCATCATGACAAGAGAACAAGATTATGCATGAAGGTCGACACACATGCACAGTAAGGTGTGATAGTTACAGGTACAGTTGCATTTCAACTACTATGCATGTACAGGTTATCATCGTACATGTACGTGCATCCATCTTTCTGTTGATGCCTATGCTAGAATGGACTGTTGCTGCCATATGCTGCTACCGTACCTTTGTCTTTGCATCCTGCACACGAAGAGCTTGATAGGAGATGCATATCTCCACCTTAGGTGGCTTGTGACCCTGGCTGCGCTTGATGTGCACTTGGAACTGAATGAAGAGAAGAAGAAGAAACAATGGGACTTATACCATGGTACGGTACGGAGGGCCTGTTTTCAGCCAATCAGCGCTCGTCTAGCCATGGTTATATTGGCCAGTATAAATCCCGCGCGGGATTTATATTGAATATAAATCCTGGTGCACGGTACGTACGCTAGGGCACTGCCGTCGTACAAGTTCACTGCCTGAAAGGCAGTGAACTTGTTGTACGACGGCAGCACTCCAGCGCACAGACCATTCACAACAGACACAACATACACCACATGCACGTGTACACTCCACACAGAACGGCATTACTAACGAGGAACAGTACACAATGGAAAAGAAGAATGACCTGGAATTCGTCTACCGAGTATTCTACATGGATTATACTGAAACTGAGGATAAAGAACGTCAAATAACCACGAAGTATCCCGAATGGGTCAGCACTGTACATTGTACTTCAAATAGTTGAAGATCATCAACAGACTGTCTCCTTCGTAACTAAGTTTATGATACAGAGTGTACTTCAAATCCACCTAAACCGATTGGAAAAACGCTAGAATGGATTGAAATGTGATACAGTGATACAAAACAGTGTATGCAAATGCATCTACTTGCAAGTAAGCAAACCTGATTATAAGATGCCGCATGTGAAAATCAGCACTGTACCATAATCATGATAATAGTTACACTTACTCCCAAAGAGTCCGCAAACTGTACTGTAGTCTAACTAGTGACAGTAGTTTGATTCAACGACAACTCCAGCACCCCAGCAATTCAGTTGACTTCCGCATCGCTCACGAGACAATATGCTACAATATGCACTGGAACTGAAAGGAAATCTGATGCCAAACATCCACGGAGGAATCTCCTTCTGATCTTGCTCGACCATTCTTTCAATTGACAACTGATAACCAGCAGAACCTGTTCATGTACTGTATGATGTAGGAGATCTCCAAATACCGTATTTTACCGGTTGTAAGTCGACCCCGGTTATAGGTCGACCCCCGTATCCGGAGGTCTCAATTCTGCGTTTTAAAGTTTTCACCCAACGAAGCACTACCAACCACGCCCTGCTACTAACACATCAACAAATCATGTATACATTCCTTATTGGAGGGTATAACGTCCCAATCCTTGAAAAAGGCCAATAAACTGGCAAACATTGTGTACACATGGTGCGCTCATGCATGCAGGGCAGGTCATTTTTGTAAGATTCTGATAGTTCCCGATTATAAGTCGAATCCCGGTTGTAAGTCGGCCCCCACCCTTTCTCCTACTATTTTTAGTCGTAAAAGGTCGACTTACAACCGGAAAAATACGGTAGGTTCGTTGTTCTGGAAATGCATAGGGGTACCTGGCATAAGTAGGATATGACCCTCGTAGTCGGGTTATACCGTACCCTCATATAAATCCCTCCTGCTATCGCAGTCGGGATTTATATTCAGCCGGTATAACCCTCTGACTCGGGTTATATCCTCTACGTACGCATCAATTTCCCGCCGTTAGGTTTTGCGGGGCATAGTCCACTACAACCGTACACACTGTGATACCAACTCTGCATAAAAGGTCATGAACTTTGTGAGGTCATACTCATAAATGTACTATAACAAGTTGTACCTGCCAAGTATGGGGTGACTTGCCCCGTAAAAAAGGTGACGGCCATCTTAGATGCATACCTCGGGCATCAGAGTCGAGAATGGTCTCTTGTATGCTTCGAGTCACAGTACATGTACCCCCGTAGCACTGATCAGGGTTCTCGCCAAAGCGACATAGCGGGGCGCTGCGCCCTCCTTCACTTTTGACCGTCTCCCTTTCAATATGAATGCGCCACCCTTCAGAGTACGAGCGCCACCTGTTTTTACATTGTACATGCCGCATGA